ATTAGCTAGGCATGGTGGTGCACACCTGTAATCCCAGTTATTTGGGACGCTGAGGCAGGAGAATTGCTTGAACCTGGAGGTGGAGGTTGCAGTGAGCTGCACTCCACCCTAGGTGACAGAGTGAGGCAGAATTAAAAAAAAAAAAAAAGTACCTTGGATTGGGTAATTTATAAACAATATAAATGTACTGCTTACAGTTCTGGAAGCTGGGAAGTCTCAGATTGAGGGATCAGCAGGCTCAGTGTCTGGTGAGGACCTGTTCTCATAGATGGCTCTTTCTGTGTCCTTATATGGTGGAAGGGGGAAACAGGTTCCCTCAAGCTTCTTTTATAAGGGTATTAATACCATTCATGAGGGCAGAGCCCTCATGACCCAATCACCTCCCAAAGGCGACATGTCTCAATACTGTCACATTGGGTATTAGGTTACAACATAGAGATTTTGGAAGGACACCAGCATTCAGACCATGGCAGAGGGTTTTAAGCAAAGGAGCAATGTGATCCTGTTTGTCTTTTGGGAAAATCAGTGCTGACTTTAGAAAGGAATTGCAGTGGTGGTAGAACAAGAAAGCTGGGAAGAACAGGAGAGACAGTGGATAGAATACACAGGTTTGAGGCATAATCAGATGTGAACGGCGAGGGAAAGAGGGGAGCTATTCAGTTTGGAGTAAATGAGAGGATCTTAGCCTGGCAGTTTTGCATATCTGTTTGGGGGTTGGGAGGTTGGCGCACAACAGCTGAGTGAGTGTATTTGCCAAGAGGAAAGAGATCTAGGCAGCATGGGGCCCTAAGAACTGCCATTCTCTTTCTTTGCTATGTGCACCTGTTCTAAAATGATGTGGTGTAAGATAACATATACCTTCTGTCTTAGGAGTTGTGTGCAGATGCTGTAGGAAACCTGGAGACTTAACCTTCCTTCTGCCATTCCAACCCGTTCATGCCAGAGATGCCCTGCCATTTTCATCCAAGAGGCCAGATGGTCCCTGGCCTTTGAACAGGACTAGACCCAGAGACCACCCACATTCAATGCAAATAAACTGCAACATCTACCTGGACCCCACTCCCAGAACCCCTAGGATCAGATCTTTGGGCTATGCCAGGTCAGCCCTACTGCTAGATTCCCTCTTCTAGGCCCCCGGACACATACACTGTCCCATGGAAATGGTCGGGCAAGAGGAGCCACGAAGGAAAACAGCCACTCCCTGCCCAGCCAGCTGCCCACCAGCTGTCCACCGCCCACAAGAGGCGATGTCATGCAACTGGGGGCCCAGCCCCTCATTCCTGACAGACCAGAGAGCCAGCTGAGCCCCAGGCCCGCTCCCTCCCCGCTCCCCAGCTTAGGAGCAGTGGCAATACTCAGTGAGGAGCTCCCAGTGAACTATTCATCCCTGCCAGTTCCGGGCCCCGCTACTGGACAAGGCCCATGCTAGAGCTCTGAGACTTAGGTTAGATTCCAGAGGGACCAGCTCTGGCCCAAGTGCTCTGACCTCCTCATGGACCCTAGAGCTTCAGCTGCTCAGTGGAAGACTCAGCTGCCCCAGTTTCCTCCGGGGGCGCGGGGGGGGGGGTTGCTGACTGTTCCACAGCCAGGCGAGGGCTTGTCCTGAAGAGAGGGGGTGTTACCTAGGCCTTATCCATTAGCTGGGTCCCCACCGTCTAAGCCCCACCCCAGGCCAGCCAGGAGTGTCAGGAGCCAGAGCAGGCAGAGCAAAGGGAGGGAAATCTGAGAGCTTATTCTGAAAGAGGCTTGCTTGGGAAGAAGGTACAGATTGAGTACAGATGTCTGAGGAGCCAGAGTGGTGGACGTTTTGCAAGGAGGCTTCCTGGAGGGAGGAGGAGGGGGATGTGTCCTGGTATGAAGTTGCAGGTGGCGTGCAGAATGCTTCCCCCACCACCAAGCTTTAAAGGGCTGCAGAAGATAGGATAAGAAGAACAGATGTTAGCCAAGAGACTCAGGCTTAGGAGGAAGCTGTGGAGAGTTGGAGAAGGCAAAGCTTTAGAGGCCTCATATATACTGCCTGGCATTTGAAGGTTAGTGCACCAAGAAGGCCTTCCAGCTGTCTGCCTTCTGCCTGCTGAATTTCACCTGCAGCAGCAGCAGCTTTGATGCAAAAAACAACTTCCTAACTGACAGGTGTGAGATTCCAGAACTCAGTGACCAAAGTGGAGCTTGGCATCTCAGTTGTGCACAGATCCTCTTGGGAGAAAGAGGAGCCATGGGGGATCCTGAAACAGGGCTGGGATTCCAGGTGGAGTCTGGTACCAGCCAGCCAGCCTTTCTGCCTGGCTTGAAGATTTTCCACAAAAAGACTCATGGCCACCAGAGGGCATCACCACTCCACAGTGTGGCATCGTGGGCTCCCTGGCCCATCCCTGGAGAAATGGGGGAGACTGGGAGGAGGAAGCAGGCAGGGATCTCTGAGCTCTGGGGAGCTACCAACAGCTGAATTAAACAGCCTCTGGAGTCAGAAGACCTGAGTTCTAGTCCCTGTTATGATTCTGTCTTTCTTTCCCTGGCATCAGTTGCCTCTGTTAAATGAGGGCACAATATCCTTTCCAGACTGTACGGCCGTTTTTGGCTCTGAAATCCCAGGATTTAAGGAAATCACACGAAGGGCTTGACAAAAATTGCTTTACCTAGGTCCACCCTTACTCTGGGGTTCTCTAGGGCTTTCTCCCTGGCAGGAGTAAACGAGGTGTGAATTTCAGTCCTTTGGTGGTGTTCGCTCGCTTGGAGGCCTAGAGGTGGGCTCCCCTGCATAAACTGAGGGGAAGTCAGCCTCCACGTCAGCTGAAGGAAGAATGGCTCCACAGGCTGTTAGACACAGGGGCTGTGCCACACCAGTGGCGTCCACTTCTCCAGGTTTCAGGCAAGGAGATGTGTCCATTAGGTAACCCTCTGTGATAGCTGGGGAGTGGGGGGCTCCTTCACAGAGGAGGTTGTGCAAGATGTCCTTTTGCCAGGTCCCTTCGGGGATAAGCAATGGAATGAACGGAATATATATCATTGCCTCTCCACTTTGTGCCTCCCCCTCCCGCCCCTCACAGATGCCGTCTGTCAGGAGCAGGCAACAGACGGTCCCGGGGTCCATCTGTGCTAATGCTTCACAATAGAGTCCCATGTTTCCCCACCGACACCCCCTCGGCCCCTCAGCTGATGGTCACTTGGTGGTGCCAAGGCGGGATGTGGGAGGAGGGAGAAGAAGGCATTAAGAGAGCTACCTCTTAGCTCCTGGCAGTCCTCAATCCACCCCGGCCCCCCACCCAACAAGCATCCTGCCATCTGGACTTGTGCAATCACTGAGGGGTGGAAAAGCACCCTCTTCCACCCACACCTCTGGTAGGGATGGAGCCCAGAGGACTGGGGGTGGGGAGGAGAACACAGAGTCAAGGAGACTAGAGAAGGAAGAAAGGAGACTAAGCCAGGTAAGAGAACGGAGACAGGCAGGAGGCAGAAAGCTTTTCCTGCCTTCACAGGTGGACGTGGCCATTGCCCCCCTGTGCTCCTTATGCCACGTGTCTAACACAGCACACGTGCAAGGTACCACTCCCTAGCAGGCCAAGAGCCTCTGTAACCCCAGTGCCCGGCCAGTACCTGGCACAGTGCAGGGCTCGAACGTTGGACAGCATCACAGAGTGGTTAGACTCCAGACTCTGGAACCAGGCTGTCTGGCTTTGAATTTCAGCTCTGCTGCTGAGTGACTTAGGGCAAGTTACTTACCTTCTCTGGGCCTCAGTTTCTCCAACTGTAAGGGAGGATGATGGTGCTTACTTCATAGGGCTGTTAGAAGACCATGTGAGTTAATGCATGTATGTGAAAGGACACACAGAACAGTGTGCATAGCACATGGTAAGTGCTCAATAAATGTTAACCGTGAAGGCATAACCGATTTGGGAGACCTGGGGGAGGAGGGGACAGAGAGGGTCACCGCATTGCCGCCTCTGCTTCTTGGCCGATGGGTGCTGGGACATGGAGTCCCCAGCTTGTGCTGCTGACGCCCTGTGGTGGCTAGCCGCTCTTTAGACACCAGACGCTGCCTTCCACTTCCTCCTCTCACTTCTTATTCGGGCACCACTGACGACAGAGACTTCGGCTGGGCCATTCCCGCCTCTCCAACCGCTTAGCAGCCATGGTAACAGCCTGGGGGATGGTCCCGAAGATGGGGTCAGAGAACGGCTGAGTATGGCCATCCCCCTAGCCCTGAACTCCCACTGGGAGACTGGGCTCATCCCAGTCTCCTGAGTCAAGTCCATAGTAAGCATCTGTCTGCTGAAAAGCGGGATCAGGGCCCGGTACCAGGAGCTGAGGAAAGGCGTATACAGCAGGGACCACTCCTGCCCCGCGGAGGGGACAGTCCAGAATTAAGCCTACTGCTTTCAGAGTTTCCACCGCTTCCCTTTCTCCTAGACCTGGGTACGGGGGTGAGAGGGGGCAGCCTCTTTCAGCTCTTCTGGGCAGCTGTGTCAAGGGAAAATCCTGGGCCCTCACACTCCCTGGGGGCTTCAGCGCAGTCAGTTCAGGGAGTTTCCTCTCTCCTCCGTCGGGTCTCCCCTACTCCTGCGCAGCCCCGCTGCCTCTCCCTGCCCTAGACTCTCCTGCACCCTCCTGGATCTCCCTGACTCTCCCCACCTCCCCAAGCTTCTTACTGTGACCTCCAATCGTGCCCCCTCCATGAATCGCCAGAGCTATTCGATCCCAAAATTTCATATTTTATAATTTTTTTTAAATTTCAAACCTTGAGCAATGTCCCTTCACAGACCCCTCCAGGTATCAAGTAGCCCCGAGCCCCGCCCCGGGGCCTTGTCCCGCCCCCTCGCATCCGCGGCTCGGTTTCCCCCACCTAGCGCCCAGCTCCCGCGGGTTCCCGGGCCGTCGAGCGCCGTGGGCGGGGCTCCAGGGCTGCGGCGCCCCGGGGGGTGGGCCCTGCGCGCTGGGGGCTAGGCCACCCGAGGCCTCTCCCCGTCCGCCCCCAACCCCGCCCCGCTCTGGGAACCTATATAGGGAGGCGACCCGCCGCCCGCCCGGCTGGCATCCCTGAGCCGCCGCCAGCCCCGCCGAGCGGAGCCAGTCCAGTCTCCGAGGGGCGCCCGGCGCCGGAGCCATGACCCTCCGCCGACTCAGGAAGCTGCAGCAGAAGGAGGAGGCGGCAGCCGCCCCAGACCCCGCCGCCCGGGCTCCCGACTCGGAAGTCGCGCCCGCCGCTCCGGCCCCGACCCCGGGACCCCCTGCCGCAGCCGCCACCCCTGGACCCCCAGCGGATGAGCTGTACGCGGCGCTGGAGGACTGCCACCCTGCTGAGCTGTACCGCGCGCTCGCTGTGTCCGGGGGCACCCTGCCCCGCCGAAAGGTGCGTCCCTCGCCCGCCCTCGGGGCCTGCTCAGCCCCACTCTGTCCCCCCACAGGGCCTGCTGACCCCGCAGTGCCCTCTGCTTGGCGTCCGCGGAATCCTCCACCTTCTTCCCCGGCCAGCTGGCTCCCTCGACTCCCTGCGGCCCCCGCTGCTCCCAAGGCCGTGGCCCTCGCCTGCACACCGCGCCCAGGCTCCGTGGCTCTCAACTCTGCGCCCAAGCGCGCCGCCCCATAGCGCCCCCTCTCTCCCTCCTAGATTCCTCCCAGCATCCCCCTTCTACTATCTTCATCTGGCTTTCTGTCCCCCATGCCCCGCCTCCCGGTGGCCAGGTGTCCTGGGTCCCCAGGACCCCCTCGCCTGAGCTCCTCCTTCAGTCTGGGGCAGCGACAACCCCTGACAAGTTGAAGGTCCCAGAGAGTGGCCTGGGTGGGAGAAGTGGGACGGTGGCTGCGCCGCGTGCGTTATGCTGAGGAAGTGCGTGGGGCGCCGCTCCTTCCGAGGGGACTCCCCGATTCCCGGGCTCGGGGCCTGCTGCTTGGCCCCACGTCTGACGTTCGAGGTGCGAGGGACACGGCTCCCTGGACTTCTGCCGGAACCGGACGCAATGGGAGGGGTCGCAGGGCGCCCGCGGGGCAGGAAGGATGCGGGCCGCTCCCACCTCTGAGTCTCCCCTCCGCCAGCCTCTTCCTCTGGCCCCAGGGGCCTGAGGCTCCGAACGGACACAAGACCAGGTTAAGGAGAGGGGCCTGGTGGCCTTTCCTCACCCAGTCACCCTCCTTCGCCCCTGGCCCCCAGCTAGCCCCCACACAATGAACAGCTTGTTGAAAATTTGCATTTTATGAAAATCATGTTGAAAGACAAAGGGGTCTCTCTGTGCTGCCCAGTCCTTCCTCCCTGGCCATTTGGGAATTGTCCCCACCCCTGAGGCCAATCTGGTTCTGGCCCTTCTCTTCCTTGCCTCGGGTAGCTTGGGGGGAGGGTTAGCAAAGGCACAGACCAGAAAGGCCCTGGGTCTCACAGGCACCAGGGAAAAGGGCTGCTCTGGGACTGGACTTCCTCCAATGACCAGAAAGTTAGGGAAGGCGAGAGACTGGCTTATCAAGGACCCTGAAGAGACAGGAACCTTTATCTCTCATCCGTCTCCTCCAAAAGGACTCCCAACTCCCTCCTTAAGTATAGTGAGACTTACTGACAAATTTGATATCTAAGATGTTTTGTCCCAGAAAGCACAAAATATATGGCAATGGAGAGAGACCCAGGTGTATCTGGCACAGCTGGTCACCTGCAGCTGGGATCCACTGCTGGTCCCTTAAACAGCCTATACCTGAGGAGACCTGGTGCCTCTGTTTTCACATTCTGGCTAGGATTGCCAGCCCTTCAGGCCAGGGTCCCTGACCCCAGCCCTCCCAAGCCACGGTCTGTAGCTGAGAATTAGATGGAGAGACCCAACTGGCAGAAGGTCTTCAGAGCACCTTGATAGGTGAGCTCAGGGGATCCCTGTCCTCTGAATCCCACTGGGGGAGAGCCCCTGCCCCAGCTTTGGGAGTCTGGATGGCCTGAACCTCTACAGATATGGGCCCTAGGGGTGAAGACCATTCTAGAATGATGATCTCCCCACCCATTGCCAGTGTAGAAATGAGCAAGGGCTTAGAGGTTCATAGATCTGGAACTCGGGAGGATGGTTGTGTCCCTGCAGTCCCAGGTGTGAAGGTAAGGCCTGTAGAGAAAGCTGAGGAGTGGTACCAGTAGTGGCACTTGGCAGATAGTTCCACCAGCATCCATGAAGGTTCGCATGTGGAGTTGGGAAGGGGGAGACAGGAAGTGGGTCACTGTGTCCAGAGCTGGAGCCCAGGTGTGGGATCTGTGGGGATAGAGGTCTCAGCATCTGCTCAAGGACAGCCTCACCTCACCTGCTCCTTTCTTGACCATCTTCCCGCTCAGGGCTCAGGATTCCGCTGGAAGAATCTCAGCCAGAGTCCTGAACAGCAGCGGTGAGTCACCAGCACCCAGTCCCTTCCATGGTCCAAAGGGGTGACGTGCTGGGTTGGGAGTGCCAGGACAGCATCTCAGCCTAGTCATTCTATCCTTTAAGCATGGCTCCCCCGCTGGGAGTGAGGGGCAGGTGGGGGTGTGGGCTGTGTGAAGCGGGTGGCAGAGAAAGGAGGTGGGGACTTTTGAGTCATTAGGTGCTCTTCAACCCACCCCCAGTCCCTGCCAGTTACCCCTCCCTGGGGAGAGCTGGATGAACTGGGTGTGGGAGGTGGGAGGGGGTGCAGGCAAAGTCTGTGGGGAATGTCCTAACCGAGGCATCCTGGACTCCCCATATCTCCCAGCCTCAGCAAACCCCACGGGCCCAGACCTTAGCCAGGCTGTGTCCAGCTGCTTGGGGCTGGCTACCCCTACCTCCAGAATGTCAGTCCTCTTCTGGTCCCAGCCTGCAGCGGCCCTCTCCAGAAGGGTCTGAGTGTGGGCCGAAGTAGGTGCTGACTCTAGGCCATGGGACCCCACACTTTCCCTCTCTACTCATGTCCCATCCCCGAGTTGGGCTTTACTTTCAGCAAACTGTGGCCTGTTGGCCAGATTGGCCTGTTTGGCCCTTGAGCTGGTAATTTTTAAAAAGTTGTAAAAATAAAAACAAAGAACGATATATGACAGAGATCATAAGGGGCCTACAAAGAAAGCCTAAAATATTTACCATCTGGCCCTTCACAGAAAAAGTTTGCTGACCCTTCCAGAAAACCCTAGAACATTGGAGTAGCTACCCTGCTCCCTGCCCCAATAGTACAGAGTGGAAAGGGCTGCTGTTCAGAGCGAGAGGGGCTCGGGTTGGAGTGGGGAGGTGCTGCTCAGCATTTGGGGAGTAACTGGGTCAAGCTGGGAGTGGAGGAGCCTGGTCTCCAGGGCCTTTCCGAGGCTGAGCTACTTGAAGAGGACTTTGGAGGTTGCTTTAACTCTGCCTCTGGCTGAGTGGGAAGGAAGAGGGTGGGAGTGGGCAGAGGAAACTCTGGGCTCCCCCAGCAGGCGATGATCTGGAGCCGCTCCAGACCATTGTGTCCAGCGGGCAGGGCTTCAGTGCGGGAAGGGGCGGCCTTGAGGCTCCCCTCCCCCAACCCCCACATCTGGTGGGCTGGCCCCAGTGCAGTTGGGAGGAGCAGCTGTGGTCTTGCTGAGCCTCGTGACTAGCCTCTGGGGGTGGGGCCTGTCCTCTCTACCCAAAGCTGTGGAGCAGAGGAGGCTCTAGGCTGTGACTGAATCTGGGGCCTCAGCTCAGTAAGTGGTACTATGATGCTCACTGGAAAGCTGGGATGTGGCTGAAAATCTCAGGGCCCATCCCTCAGGGGACCAGCCCTTCTCTGTGCTTCCCTCCCACCACTAGAGGCTGGATTGGTTCTCTGTGTCTCCATGAGGCTGATTTCAGCTGGGTATGGGAAAGACATTCCTATACTCTGTGATGAGACTGAGCTGTCACTGGAGTGAGTCCTGCTGGAATATTCTAGGCCAGACTCCAGTATCCAGGGAGACCCAGGCTCTGGGACTCCTACACCTTTTAATCCTGATAGACTTGACCCCTGTGTCTCTTGCAGGAAAGTGCTGACGCTGGAGAAGGAGGATAACCAGACCTTTGGCTTTGAGATCCAGGTAGAAGAAACTGCACATGGGGGCAGAGTGGGGGGCAGACAGCCAGCCTAAGGGATGAATGGACTTGCCCCAATCCTGGGCTGAGGGTCCCCTTGTCCATTACAGACTTATGGCCTTCACCACCGGGAGGAGCAGCGCGTGGAAATGGTGACCTTTGTCTGCCGAGTTCATGAGTCTAGCCCTGCCCAGTTGGCTGGGCTCACACCAGGTGGGGCCTGGGCCCAGGACAGGGGTCTGGGAAGGGGATAGGACCTCTGCTTACTCCCAAGCAGAGGGGGTGAGAAATCTCTCCTGAAACCTATTCCTTGTCCTCCTCCTTCTTTGGCAAGCCAGAAAGAAGAATGGATAGAACCTGGGCTTTGGATCTAGGCAAATTTGCCATGATCTTGCATAGTCCCATCTACAAAATGGGGGGTAATAATGCATCCAAACATCACAGTGCAGCACGGGGATTCCCTGGGAACAGAGCCAGGGCCTAATTAGTGGTGGATGCTGCTGCTGCTGCTGCTCTGATTCCTCCCAGCAACCTGGCAGTCAGCACAGGCAGGAGCCGGGGAGGAAGCAACAATCCATTAGCTCTGCTTGATATTGGAGAGCAGGCCAGTCCTGCCCCCAGATAGGCACAGCACTGAGGAACCGATGTTACTCCCTTTAAAAAAATTAAAAACATTTTTTTTAAGAGACAGGGCCTCACTCTGTCACCAAGGCTGGAGTGCAGTGGCATGATCATAACTCAAGATAACCTTGAACTCCTGTGCTCAAGCGATCCTCCTCCTGCCTCTGCCTCCCAAAGCAATATGTTACTTCCTCTAACAAGGAAATCATGCCTCAGTAGGAGACCCTGGATTGAGTAGATCTAGAGTCCCCAGGTTCCAGGAAGGGCAGCCTGAAACTACATGAATCAATCCCTGCTCCACCATCTTTGCCCCTAAGCCCCTACCTCCCTCCCATTTACCAGCAGCCCTTGCTAGCTCTCTTAGTCCATTTTCTGTTACCGTAGCAGAATACCTGAGAGTGGGTGATTATAAAGAAAAGAGGTTTATTTAGCTCATAGTTCTGGAGGCTGGGAAGTTCAAGACTGGGAGGCCGCATTGGGTGAGGGCCTCATGCTGCGTTCTGACATGATGGATGTCATCTCATGACAGGAGCGCCTGCAAGAGTGGCGGGTAGGTACATGTGAAAGAGACAAAACACGGGTGATCTTGTTTTATAGCCACCTACTCTCCAGGTAACTAAACCAGTCCTGCCAGAGCAAGAACTCACTCCCCAAAACAGCATGAATCCCTTCATGAGGGCAGATCATTTATGGCCCAAATGCCTCTTGAAGGAAGGTCCTACCATCTCTCAACACTGTTACATTGGGGATGAAGCCTCAACCTGAGTTTTGGGGACAAACCATATTGAAACCATAACAGTAGCCAAGTGGTATACCATAACTCCACAAGGCAGTTTCACATCTACTCTCCCTCCTTGTCATCCCTGAAGCAGCTGCAGCAGGGATCCATACCCTTTTTATGGATGGGAAAGAAGTCCTCAGAGATGGGGCACCTGTGCCTGAGGTCGGGAGGCTCTGCAGTGTGCAGGGTAGCAGAAGCTCAGGGCCAGGCATTCCCTGTGCTTCCCTCTCACCACCAGAGGCTGGATTGATTCTCTGTGGTTCCATGAGGCTCTGCCATGCCTGGGGCCAGGGTCAGTTCCTATCGAGGTGCTGCCCACCTGCCCCTCCCTGAATTTTGACTGGGTCTCATGGCCAGCGTGGACTGGACCGAAATAACCAACTCTGAGGACAGCCCAGGGTCCTGGGTGGGCTTAGCTTTGGGACAGAGCTTCTCAAGGGTGGAGTGAAGGTGCTGGGTGTGTGAGGTCCCTGTCCTTTGGCTGGGGTGCTGGGCCTGGACAAGCTGGTGATCACTACAGGCCCAGAAGAATGGCTGTGGTTCTGTGTGTTTGGATCGGGTATGAGAGATGTCAGAGGAGGGCCACCTAGAACCATGAGAATTTGGAGGCGGGAGTTCAGGAGTATTCCTTGGAGTTACTACCCGCCCTCTCCCCTTTCTGGCTAAGGTTAGAGGCTGGAATTCTAGCATGCCCCCTGGAGCAAATCTAACCCCTATGTCCACCTGGCAGGGGACACCATTGCCAGTGTCAATGGCCTGAACGTGGAAGGCATCCGGCATCGAGAGATTGTGGACATCATTAAAGCGTCAGGCAACGTTCTCAGGTATGTCTGGGAGCTGCAGTGCCTGCGGACTCCTGAGCTCAGCCTCTTGATATTTCCTCAGCCTGTGGCTCACTCGACCTTTGATTCCCCAATATCAGATTGGAAACTCTGTACGGAACGTCAATTCGGAAGGCGGAACTGGAGGCTCGTCTGCAGTACCTGAAGGTAGGGGAACGAGCTCAGGTAACGTCTAACCTCCACCCTCCTCTTCCCAAGCGCCTACCCTGTGGGGTGGTCATTTATATCCGAATCTCCTTTAACCGAAGGTTTCTTCTGTCTACTCCCTGATCCCTTATCTGTACCTATGTCCTGCTGGTTTCCTGCTAGTTCGTGACAGTAGGGTGGTGGTTGTCTCTTGCAGCAAACCCTGTATGAGAAGTGGGGAGAGTACAGGTCCCTAATGGTGCAGGAGCAGCGGCTGGTGCATGGTGAGTAGGTCTGCGCTTCCTCCTCAGCTCTGGTGGGCTCTAGTAAAGAAAGGTTTACTAGCAAACCTCTAAAGTAAAGCAGGGTTCGTTGAGCTACTACTTTGGATACTGCCGTACCCACGTTTCTGGTTATTCTCACACTAGCCCTCTGCAGGTAAGTAACAGATAGTGTCATCTTCACTTCACAGAGGGGATCACCAGGGCTCAAAGAGTCTGTGTCAATTCTTTCCGAGGGTCTTGTGTGCTAAGCGACGCCCATAAGGATCTGAGTGATCATTCCTGATTTGCGGGTGAGGGAAGTAGGGGCTCAGGTCTGTGCCTGGCCAGGGCCACACAGAGGGTCAGCAGGACGGAGTGGGGATGCCTCCGAGCCTTTGCGGAGGACACCACCGCCTAGGCCTGACCCGCCCCCCACCGCCTCCCCCGTCTCCGCGCAGGCCTGGTGGTGAAGGACCCCAGCATCTACGACACGCTGGAGTCGGTGCGCTCCTGCCTGTATGGCGCGGGCTTGCTCCCGGGCTCGCTGCCCTTCGGGCCTCTGCTCGCCGTGCCCGGGCGTCCCCGCGGAGGCGCTCGGCGGACCAGGGGCGACACTGACGACGCCGTCTACCACACGTGCTTTTTTGGGGACTCCGAGCCGCCAGCGCTGCCGCCTCCGCCGCCCCCGGCTCGCGCCCTGGGCCCGGGCCCCGCCGATACCCCTGCTGTGGGGCCGGGCCCCGGAGCGCGGGCCGCGCTGAGCCGCAGCGCCAGTGTGCGGTGCGCGGGCCCCTGCGGGGGCGGAGGCGGGGGCGCGCCGGGCGCGCTCTGGACTGAGGCCCGCGAGCAGGCCCTGTGCGGACCCGGCCTGCGCAAAACCAAGTACCGCAGTTTCCGCCGGCGGCTGCTCAAGTTCATCCCCGGACTCAACCGCTCCCTGGAGGAGGAGGAGAGCCAGCTGTAGGGGCGGGGGCGGGCAGAGAGGTATTTATTTATTTATTCGCAACAGTCAGCGCTGAAAGAGGGGGAGGCCGGGCTAAAAGGACCCCAGGAGCCCAGAGCAGCGGGAGAGGGTCCTTGCGAGCCCCGCCCCTCCTGGTCGGTTCCTGGCTGATGTCTGCTGAGGGAGTGGGGGGCTCAGGCCCTTCTCTTCTCTTTCGCTAAGCCACAGTGGGAGCTGGGGCAGGGGGAGACCCAGGCAATCGGGGGCCAAAGATGGGGTGCTTGCCTACAGTCTCATCTGTAGTGCCTTGTGGGGTATCCTGGAACACCCACCCAGCAGGGGTGGGAACCCTGTCCCACGAAGCCCTCTCCTCAGCTTTACTTGCTCCCCCGCCCTTAGCCTTGGGGAGAAATGGCCCATGGTGGGCTGACCCCCCACCCTCCACACACACGGTTCCCTGACCCCGTGGGCCCCCAGGGGCATCAGGTGCTGGGCCTCCTGCGTCCTGGCCTCGACCCCTAAGGGCTTGGCCTCTCCCAGGGGCTTGTAACTAAGTCGGGTCCTGCTGGGCAGGGGGTCTGTGTTCTGTGTCCCTTGGGGACAGGAACCGGCAAGTTCAGGTGGGGTGGGGACAGCACAGACTGTTCCACCGTTCTGCATATTGTTGCTTCTGAACCACAAACTGTATAAAATGGATGGTTTTTCATCTGTGTCAGTGTGGTGACTGCCTCAGGGGGAGGATTGGGCTGGGGCAAGCTCTGACTCCACCATCCCAACCACCCACCCCCAACACAAACGCACATGTTATTTTCTTACAGCCTGAAGCCAGGGAAATAGTCTGGGAGATTTAAATTTACATGTACAGGCCTGAGCTGGAGGCCCCACACTTCAGAACTTGAGCCTCCCTCCCCAATACCCACAGCAGGTGGTGGCCAAGGCTTGCCTCAAGTACTTAACCATCCCTATAGAAATACGGGTGCTTGGCATGCCTTTCTTCCCAGCCTCTGAGGACTCCCTTGAGGGGCTCAAGCCAGATCTGTGGGGACCTGAGCTGTATCCACCTGGCCTGTGATGGGCCCATCACAGATTACTCTGTTGTTCCAGAACTCTTCTGCGGTTTCCAATACTCCCAGGATGAGTTTTTTGTTGTTTTTCGAGATGGGAGTCTCCCTCTGTCACCCAGGCTGGAGTGCAGTGGCTCAATCTCGGCTCCTTACAACCTCTGTCTCCCAGGTTCAAGCAATTCTCCTGCCTCAGCCTCCCAAGTAGCTGGGACTACCAGGTGCGTACCACTACCCCCAGCTAATTTTTGTATTTTTAGTAGAGACAGGGTTTCACCATGTTGGCCAAGATGGTCTCGATCTCTTGACCTCATGATCCATCCGCCTAGGCCTCCCAAAGTGCTGGGATTATAGGTGTGAGCCACTGCACCAGGCCTAATTGTTGTATTTTTAGTAGAGGCGGGATTTCACCATGTTGGCCAAACTGGTCTCAGACTCCTGACCTCACATGATTTGCCCGCCTTGGCCTCCAAAGTGTTGAGATCACATGCTTGACTCCCAGGATGAGATTCTGACCCTTGCTGGCCTCTGCTTCTCACTCCCCGCTTTGACTGTGCTGCTGATACACTTCAGTCCTCAGCCCTGCCTTCCAAAGACCTTTCCATCCAGTGGAAATACAGTCAGAGCCTTTTCTGTGACAGCCCTGTTGTATTCTCATTGCAGTCTGAGACTGTCTGGGCTTTTATGAGTTTATCTTGCCTGCCCTTCCCACCCGGGAGGGTACACGCTTCTTGCAGCAGGGCTTAGGAGCCTTTTCTGTCTTCACTTCTTTATTCTTGCCTGATCCTAGCACATGGTAGACTCTCAAGACAGTGTGTGCCAGAATAGTGTGCGCTCATGCATCTCCAAGTGATGGTCGTGACCTTCTTTGAAGTGACCTGTCTGGTGTCATACAGCAAGCTAGTGGGAGAGCTGGGCCTGGGACTTGAGGTCCCTGCTCCAGTGCTCCTCCTGGGCAGTAACCAGCATGGAGGGGGCGGCTTTGAGAGAGGTCTGAGCAGACCCTCCGTGCCTGTCCTGCACCATGGTTCTTGCCTTCTGAGAGGGTCCCATTTCTGTTTCTTCTTTTGCTCCTTGAGCGTCCTTTCTGCACACGGCAGTCAGGGTGATCTTTTCAAAAAGGAAACTGGATCACAAGCCTCCTCTGCTTAAACCTGTTATGCCTTTCCCTGGAATAAAGGAATAAGGGCCAAACTCTTTACCATGGCCTATCCATAACACATCCATCCTGGGAGATAAATAACATAGCATCCCTTTCTCCAGGCTGACAGCAGCCACACAGGCCCAACAGTTTGGTAACTGGAAGCCTTTGGTGCAGTGCCCAACCTCTGCAACTGTGTCTCTCGTTGCCCTCCACGAATCCCTCCAGAATCTGGTCCCTGCCTCTCTGATCTCAAATTGTTTCTCCTTCCATGTCACTCGTTACATCTAAGCCACACTATCCTTTCTGCTCCTGTTCCTCAAATATGCCAAGCTCCCTCCTGCCTCTGGTCTTCGCCCATGCTTTCTTCTCTGCCTGGAACACTCTTCTTTGCAAGACTGATTTCTCCATCCTCGTGCCTCAGCTAAAACATCAGCTCCTCAAAGAGGTTTGCCTGATCAGATCTGAAGTAGTTCCCTGACCCCATTATTCTTTATCTTGAGTCTGTTGGGGTTTTTTTGTTTGTTTGTTTGTTTGTTTGAGATAGAGTTTCACTCTTGTCACCCAGGCTGAAGTGCAATGGCACAATCTCGGCTCACTGCCACCTCCTCCTCCCGGGTTCAAGGGATTCTCCTGCCTCAGCCTCCCAAGTAGCTGGAATTACAGGCACCCACCACCACACCTGCCTAAGTTTTGTAATTTTAGTAGAGATAGGGTTTTGCCATGTTGGCCAGGCTGGTCTTGAACTCCTGACCTCAGGTGATCCACTCGCCTCGGCCTCCCAAAGTGCTGGGATTACAGGCATGAGCCACCGCGCCTGTCTATTTTATTTTTTACTTCATGGCACTTTCTCCCAATTGGGAATCACACTGACTTCTTTTGTTTCTGTCTTGCCTTTGTAAGGGCAGGAGCCCAGTCTTGTTTGAAGTTGCACCTCTAGGGCCTAACAGAGCCTGGCACACAGGAGGGGCTCCATTAACTGGTGCTGATGAGTGAATGCTTCCTTGGGGCCAACCTTGCCTAGGGGTAACCACCACCTCCCCACCTCTGAGCCCCAGGGAGTGGGTGAGAGGGCCCCTCTTCTGCTCCATCTGTAGCTGGCATCTGTAGGCCCTTCTCTCAAAATCCCTTTGGGGCTGGGTGGCAGCCCCAGCCAGGGCACCTGCACCTGGCCACCCTGCCCTCCCCAGTCTCAGGAAGGGAGGACATTTGATTAAGAAAATGGAGCTTCCCCAAGCTCCCTGTTTGAACAGCTGCTCTGAGGCAATGATAAACATTGCCTCCCAGGGGCTCAGGTCTAGGGGAGGGGCCCCCTCACACCTTTGTTCCCAGAGCCCAAGGCTGCCAGGAGACCAACTGCCTGGGCATAGCCTGGCACCTTACGGGAGGTGGGGGGCTGCAGGACCTCCCTGGATTTCTCCTCCCAGTAGATTCCAACTCCCTTGGCGACCAGTCTGTCCCTACTCCCTGCCATGTAGCTAGTCCCAGGGAGTGATGTCGGTGTCCCCTCACCCAGGCTGATGGGGGCTCCTGGCCAGCCGTGTGCTCCCAGGGGAGGGTGAGGGGTGCCCAGGGCGGGGCTGGATCCCACCTCTCAGCTGATGGGATGACGGCACCAGCACAGCAGCCTCCTGCCGTGTAGGTGGGTGACAGGGAGTGACTAATGTGCGAGCTGCGATGCTAAAAATTAACCCAGGGATCGTGTTTGGCGGAGGGGGTGGGGGTGGATGGGAAAAGGAGCAGGGACTTAGAATATTGTGTGGTCGGTATTCCCCCTGCCCCGCCGCCCCTCCTTCACCTCCCACCAGCCTTCTGCTCCTCTCAAAGCCTCAGGGAACTCTGCGGGAGCCCCTCTCCCATGCTAGGCCAGAAGGGGCCTCCAACAATTCTAGGGGAGGACAGTGGCCTCCACGCCAGGTTTCATGCATGGTCAGGGGAGGGACATAGACCTGCAGATAGGGTTCTGGTCTGAGGTTCCCACAGAGCCCTGCATCTGTCCCCACATCCCCAGCACAGTGGATTGTGCCCCAGAATCCCCTGGTCTTGCCCCTCTGCCTGAGCCAAGGACAGTGGGAGCAGCAGAGGCAGCCAGTGCACCTAGCAAGGCTGTCAGCAGGCTGGGGGCGGGGGGACATGGGGGTGTCAGCTGCACCACAAGAAAAGGATAGATGGCTGGGCATGGCGGTTCACGCCTGTAATCCCAGCAGTTTAGGAGGCCAAGGCAGGTGGATCACCTGAGGTCAAGAGTTTAAGACCAGCCTGGCCAACATGGCAAAACCCCATCTCTTCTAAAAATACAAAAATTAGCCGGGCGTGGTGGTGGGCACCTGTAGTCCCAATTACTTGAAAGACTGAGGCAGGAGAATCGCTGGAAGGCAGAGGTTACAGTGAGCTGAGATAGTTGCCCCTCCAGCCTTGGCAACAGAGTGAGACTCTGTCTCAAAAAAAAAAAAAAGAAAAAAAGAAAAAGATAGGTGACTTCTGTGTCCCCATGTGCTGGGCTAACATTTCCACATCCATTACGTCGCTGAGGCCTCACAGTACATCTGAAAGCTGTATATCTCCCCATTGGCAGATTAAGAGACTGAGAATTAGGTTAAGGCAGCAGAGCTGGTGCCTGGCAAGGCCAAAATGCTCTCATGCCTGTTTGTCTCAAGGGTGGTGAGAAGGAAGTCTTCCTGGAGGAAGGGGTGTGAGGACAAGGTGGAAGAGATGGTGAGGAATGAGCTGAGCCTCTCAGGCTATGGGCCTCACCTGTGGAAAGAGGTGTTGGCATGGTGGGTATATGAGAGGAAGGACCTGAAGGGGCAGGTCCGAGGTGTGCCAGGGGCAGTAGGAGGAGCCAGCCCGGAGAGCTCGTGGTTCCATGCACACTGGTGCTGTGCTGGAGGGAGGAGGGAGAGCATTCCCATCTAAGGGGAACATGGGGGGGTGCTCTGGAGACTTGATGGGGTGCACAGAACAGGGGAGGTGGGCTTGGAAAGAGCTTTGCTAACACACATGGGAAAACTTATTAGGAGTGAACCTCCGAACATTCCCATTTCCCCTGGAAACCAAACCCAAGACCTTGAGCTGGATAGCAGCAGGAGAAGAGGAGGGACAGCGGGAGGCCCCTTCTGCTGCCCAGCCTGGGCTCATGTGTCTGGGGAAGTGAGGGAGGCTGTGGGATTCCCCAGCTCAGGAGAGACGTCAGGCTGGCTGGCTGGGAGGCTGCCTGGTCCTGCAGTGACTGATGTGATGGATGAAATGACCATACTGGGGAGTGATGGGCTCAGAAAAGTGAGACAGAAAGCTGGGGGCTGTGGAGGGGCCAGGGGGACCCAGGAGAGTTCCTTAATAGAGTAAAACAGCCAGAGTGCAGCAGTGTGCTGACCCCTGGTGGGGACCCCAGAACACTGCGCCTCTCAGAGCCAGGACCATACCAGGTGGAGAGGGGCACAGAGCAGGGCTCTCCATCAATCAGCCAGCCGCTGGGAGCAGCCTCCCTCCCTCCTTAGAGCCCAC